AAAAAAAAAAAAAAAAAAAAGTAACATTCGATTCATGTAGTTTATTCTTGATGTACTTATTTCCCTTCTGTTCTGAACCAAAACTTCACTTTGCAATAAATGACTGGCGGATGAAGCACAAAAGACATCTCCTGGCTGTGACAGTGCCTCTGTGGATTGTGTGGCTGTGAATCCATCAATTGATCCTCCTCTGGCCTACATTCCTATTTTCCTCCTTTGTAACTACTCCTCTTCTCTGTGGTAAGAACATAATTAATCTACGTGAGGTGAGTTTCCAGGGGATGGTAATGGGTACTCAGCAGCATAGAAAATATATAGTGAAGTGAGAAATCTTGGAAATTGCTGCTTGTTTACAGTTTGTTCTTGGTGACAAAAATGCTTGCCAGACGCTTTCAGTTCTAATGACTCTCCCCTTCCTACCTGCTCTGTCTGCACCATCCCTGTCCACCCTTGACCTTCCTCCCCAGTGCCCCATCAGTATGGCAGACACGTCCCCAGGAAGCAGGCCAGCAACACCAGACAGCACTTTTCCTAGGGCAGAGGCCTCGCTTACCTTGCCTGTCTCAGCAGGCCCTGTGGGTGGGCTTAATTGTGAAAGTCACCCATATGGGGGATGCAAGGACCTCTTAGGTCAGAGAAGTGGGTTCCTTCCCGGATAGCTATTGAGCCAGGGCCCGGCATTCCCTCCAGGGTCTCTCTGACCAAGGTGTGAAATGGTTCTCCCCTTATACTGTACAGAGGTTTTCTTTGATTTATTGCTGTTAAAGTTGTTGCTTCAAGAGCTGGGCACAAATTCTACAAACAGTGGGGAATCACAAGAAATTTGTGATAATTGCATTTAAGATAGGAGCCCATTTGTCAGGTGACACTTAACGTGCTGTTAATCAGAGTGATGATTTCTAAGCCATGGGGTTTGCTTCTTGTCTGAGTATTTTCTTTATATTTTATTTTTGGAACTAATCAGGTTTTTGTTTTCTTCTAGGGAAACAATAGCAAATGTCAGACTGAACATTATATGATTGGATTATTTTTCATCAATTTATAAAAAGCACAAGCCTGTGTTTATGGTTGAAATTTTGGATGCCTGAGAAGATCATTAATGTTTTGATAAAAACAGGTGGCAAGAATCTTCAGAGGTCACCCTGCCGCCCATCTTTCATTGATGTCTCAAGTGGACAAGGTGATAGATAACAGAAGTTTCATCACCCCTACCCTCTCTGCATCTTAGGCAGGGTCTGTCCAAGTACCTCTCCTCTTGTGTTCAGCCTATAAATACAGATGACTATTTGGACAAAAATGGGTTTTGGCACTCAGCTATAAAAGCAGGGTAACCTTTTCAAGGCCAAGGAATTTTTCTGTGTGTGGGTGGTCCTTCTGTCTGCTGGAAACAGATGAAAGTCTTTCTGCCTTGCCAAGTCCTGAGGAATTTGTGGAGCTTGAGGTGGGGATCTTGAGGACCCCAAGGGGTCAGGGGAGAGAGGAACTTGAGGGTGACTGGACTTAGGGAGCCAGTTCTTTTATTGGAGTGAGCTAGGAGAGATTGGACGCATCTTAAAAACGAATTCATACTAGACAATAGAGAAAACAGAAAGAAAGAAAATAAGCACATTCTTCCCGATCATTTTAACAAGTGACTGTTGTCACTTATTTTCTTCCTCTCCCCTCATTTCCCTATGTGCTTGGCTGTCCCCACACAGTGGAATATCCACTCCCTGTGGCCAAGGAGCTCCTGGTGGGGCAACAGACCAGTGGAAAAAAACATTAAAGAGGCCCAGGGGTAGGAGAAAGGTTATGAGATGGCCTCTGTGAGGGCCCAAGGGACAACTGGAGGGTTCACGAGTCAAAGTAGGAATGATTCTTAAATTTAGTCAGGGAGACCGACCCTGAAGGATTCGTAACACTCGTGGGGCTCAGCATGTATCAGTGCAAGAGGAAGGAACCTCCTCTTCATCACTTGCTCTTGGTTGAGTAAGTGCACAGAGCTCTTGTGAGGGGTGCTGTTGGTGAGCAGAGGTCACTTTAGGGAAGGACTCATGTGCCAGCCAAAGAGGCAGAGAGCCATTGAGGGTCATAAGTCAGGGGAATGACGTGACAGGGTTTGTACTTAAGGAGGGTGTCTGGCAGCTGCATCAAGGGTGGAGCGAGATGGGTGACAATTCAGGGAGACCATTGTTACCATCCAGGTAGGAGGAGGTGACGAGAGTGGATCTGGTAGCAATGACGAGAGAGATCGAGAGTGAGTGAGCAAATTTTGTTGGGGAAGAGTTCCATTTCAGACTTAATGTTTTGAGGAGCCTGGGTAGAATCCAAATGGAAATATGCTGCAGGCTGGTGGCTCTGTGCCTGGAGCCCTGGGGAGAAGTCCCATCCAAATGGTCAGGATTTGGGAATCCTCAGCTGGAAGTGGAAGTAGAAGCTAGTTTGGAAAAGGATATGAAAAATGCCTCAGAAGAGAGTATTTGGGTAATAGAGAAAGAAACCTAGGCTTGGTCCTTGGAGACCCCCCAAATGAGACCAGCAGAAGAAAGGGTGTTGAGGGGCCCTACGGGAGGTATGGCTGTGAATGTCTCCCCACCATCAAGTGAGCTTTAGAACTGAATTGTCCATTGAGTTCAGCAACAAGGAGCCAATAAGGGCTTTGAAGAAAGCCATTCTGGTAGCCTGGGGATAAGGATGCAGGTCAGGGCTTCTTCATAGACATGGTTATAAATAGAGTGGGCATAAATCACATCAGCACCAATGGTAGGCATTTTTCTCTAACTGTAGAGTCTCCATAGCCATTGCTCTTAAGTATCCATTCCTTAGGATAAGTGTTCTAGAGATGTTCCAAAGCGTCTTACCATTTTTATGCATTTGAAACTGTACTGTCACATGATATTCAGATTGGGGCATTCTGATTGGCAGCATCATCAGTAATGCCTGATATTGTCAGTTTCGCCACAGACTCACCAGCATAGAATTTTACCTCACTAAATCATTTTCCTAATACAAATAAACAATGCATTCTCACAGTATAGACTTGCAGTGATATGTTGGTGACCAATGGGCATGTCTTAAAGTCATTTTTAGCTTCTGGGCAACCAGATCAAGAGCCATATATTGGACCAGAAGTTTTAAAATTGAAATGGAAAATCAGCTTGTCAAACCATCTGACCATTGCTGTGGGACCAGCTGCTCTTGCACTGTCGTCCTGGATAAAATGCTTAATTAATCTCTTAGGGTCTGTTTCTTGACGAAGAGAATTTGCTGGTATTTTCTAAAGTTCTTTCCAGTGTTAGGATTTTGAGCTGTTCAGCTCTGTTCTCAGCATCTCCCAGCCCACAGCCAGCCCCAGGTAAACATTAGGAAATTGACAGATCAGAAAATGTATTTTGCCTTGGAGTAGGAAGATATTACCTACAGAACAATAAGGATTCTAAGTATTGTATTCATTAAGAAAAATGAATAAAAAGAAGAAAGTCGGGCCGGGCGAGGTGGCCCATGCCTGTAATCCTAGTAAATCTGGAAGCTGAGGCAGGAAGATCAAGGGTTCAAGACCAGCCTCAGCATCTTGGCAAGGCTCTAAGCAACTTAGTGAGACCATGTCTCAAAAAATAAAAAGCTTGGGGGTGTCATTCAGTGGTAGAGTGCCCCTGGGTTCAATCTCCAGTACCAAAAAAATAAAATAAAAGTCAGGCTTATCTTACTATAATGAAAATCCTACTCTCCTACCCTGCTTTTTAGCTACCACCTACTTATTAGGTTTTAGTTCAAATGTTTCTTCCCAGGGGACTTGTTGTCTAATAGATTAAATTCATTAGATGATCTCTCATCCCATTGGTCCTCATTTATTTATTATCATCTGCAAACTAGGATGTTTCACCAGAACAATGACCTCCTACGTGTAATTGTTTATGGTATCCCCCATACCCAGCCTAGAAGCCAGCACATCATTCCTTAACACGTGTTGAATGAACATCAACTCAGGATCATTTTTTTAACATTTTCGCATATTTCCTTTTGGCTTTTTCTCTGTGATATGTTTACATACCGAGATTTTTTTATTCATCCGGACATGATGGCACATGCCTCGAATCTCAGCCACTTGGGAGGCTGAGGCAGGAGGATCACAAGTTTCAGGCCAGCCTCAGGAACTTGGGGAGACCCTGTCTCAAAATAAAAACCAAAAGGATCTGGGGATGTAGCTCAGTGGTAGAGTATCTCTGAGTTCCCCCCACCAAAATATATTGTTTCCTTCTAAGAATGAGGTCAGTGTATGCTACTGTTTCATTATTTGTTTTTCATTCCTATTGAATTATTTGTCTGTGGTAGCCTATCGTAGTGATCTATTCTCACTCACAGCACTTTGAGCAACAGCTAGTCTAGTTTAGAAATACAGCCTGGGATGCAGGAGACTTACAGAATGAATCAGTTCTAGTTTCTAAAAATGGTCAAACTAGCTGGACACAGTGGCACATCCCTGTAACCCAATTACTTGCCCCAGCTGGGGAAAGAGAATGGCAAGTTTGAGACTAATATGGGCAATTTGGTGAGACCCTATCTCAAAAAAAAAAAAAAAAAAAAGGACTGGGGATGTGGCTCAGTGGTAAAGTGCCTGGGGTTCAATCTCCAGCACTGCAAGAATAAAAACAAACAAACAAAAAGGTCAAACTGTGTAAACTGATCTGATGTTGGAGAGCATGATTTATCACTGTGGGCAGTGGCCTCCAGCGGATGTGGATGGAGAGACTGGAGAGTTGAGGAAGGACGCTGGTGGCCAGCCTCTCACGTGCCCTCACACACATGATGCTGCTGAGTCTTCACAGCAATCCTGTTAAGCAGGTGTCATTAACCCCTCTTGCAGCTATCTCAGGGTTGTGAAATAGCACCCCGAAACACTCTAGCTATTTGTGGCTCAGCTAAATTCAAACCTGGGTCTCCTGACCCTGGGTCCTTATTTTAGGTAGACTCTCCCATGGGAGCACTGGAGTCCCTGGTTACAGGTAGACCACACACTGCTGGTTGTCTTGCTGGTAGAGCTGGCTTTGATGAGGTTGAACCCCAGTGCACACAGCCAACCATTTTTTTCCTGACTGCTGCTATTTGTCAGCTGTGGGTAGTTACCTTATTCTGTTGAAGCTACACTGAGTAAGCCCAGAACATGAAATCAATGAGTGATCTTACTTTTTAATCAGGAGTCTGAAAGTTCAAGTTGTATTGAGTAGCTGAGGGCCAAGGCCAGGCCTTCCAGCTCTAATTTAGCAAACGTTTGATTCAAAGTTTCCATTTCCTTGGGTCTGGCCTTTTGCAAAGATATTAAGAAGGACCATTTGAACTTTATTCTTATCACCTGGGAAATAGCAGCACAGAACTTCCAGGGGCCTGTCAGGAACAATGTGACACAGCTTGAATAGCTAAAAATCAGAGTAGCATTTTCAGTTAAAAACCCAGAGCAGATACACAAAGTAGCATTATACTACAAGGGACTGAAGCTGAAATTGAGTGTATTCTTAATCACATTTAGATTCGGAATGGGCACTATGATAAGATTCAGCTTTATTTGAAAGGGACTGTTATTACTAATAATCATTAATCATTGTGAGCCATAAAATCTGATACAGAAGAGTAGGAGAATTAAAGGATGAGAAAAGTGAGTATCATGTTCAAGAGTCTCATTTAATCACATACAGCTTCCTGAGATGTGATTTTAATTTTTAAACAACTGCTCTTCATTTATGGAGATTCTGTGGCTGGCTGACTACCACCGCAGCCACCCGAGCTTTCCCTAATAATTTAAAAATATACATTTGCATGCATATTTAAAAATGATTAAGATGGGGAAGTTTATGATATGTGTTTTTAACCACAATTTTAAAAATCCCACACATTGGTGGTGATTCATTATCTCTCTTCTGATCAAAAGGAAGTATTTATTTTTAAAACTCTTTTTTAGTTTTTAAAATCACATGTAATTGATACAATTGAAATAATACAGGAATCTACAAAGTGAGCAAATTTTTTTTTTTACTCCAAATTGAACTCAGTAGGCATCTGCTGATAGTACTTTTGTGTAATTTTTTTTTAATGATAGTGCATTTTGGCTACTTATAGATCAGAAAAGCACAGTGACAATAGCAAAATTGGAAACAACCCAAGTGTCCATCAGCAGATGACTGGACAAACAAAATGTGGTATATACATGAAATGGAATATTTTTCAGTCTTAAAATGGAATCAAATTCTAATACATGCTACAACATGGATGAACCTTGAAAACCTCATGCCAAGTGAAATAAACCAGGTGTCAAGAAGCAAATATTGTATGAATCTATTTATGTTGAGAGGGGTGGGGATTTGTTGTATATAAGTATAGAATTTTTATCTGGAATGTGATAAAGTTCTGGAAATGAGTACTGGTGATGCTTATACAACATTGTGAATGTACCCAATGTCATTCATTTGTTCGTTTAAAATGGTTAAATTTAATGATTAAGCTTTACCATTTTAACGTATTAAATGTTAAGTCTATTTTGTTACAATAAGTAAAGAAAAAGCTGTGCATGGTGGCACACACCTATAATCCCAGCAACTCGGGAAACTGAAGCAGGAGGATCACTAGTTCAAAGCCAGTCTCAGCAATCTAGTGAGGCCTGAGCAATTTAGCAGGACCCAATCTCAAAATAAAAAATATAAAAAGGGCTGGAGATTTGGCTCAGTGGTTAAGCACCACTGGGTTCAATTCTTGGTACAAAACAAACAAACAAAAAACAACATAATGTATATATTTTTTTTCTTTTTGGAACTGAGAATTGAACTCAGCTGTGCTATACTACTGAGCTGCATCCCCAAGCCCTTTTTATTTTGAGACAGGGTCTTGCTAAATTCCTAAGACTGGCCTTGAACTTGTGATCCTCCTGCCTCAGCCTCCTGAGTTACCGGGCTTACAGATGTCCACCATCACACTCATCTATAATTCTCTAGCCTACTCTAAACATTTACAAATAGTAGCTAATGGGCTAAGGGTTTAGCTCAGTGGTAGAGCTCTTGCCTAGCACGTGTGAGACCCTGGGTTCATTTCCCACCCAGTTCTACAACCACAAAAGAGAGAGAGGAAGGAATGATAAATAATATATGATACAAAACATTTTAAATACAGTTATACTGACTGTTATCCATCAATAACTAACAACCTCTAATCTTAAGGGCTCACAACCACAAAAGTCTATTTCTTGCTGACATTACATATCTTTCACAGTTGACTACAACTCCATGTCACATCCTCTTCATTTTGTGATCCAGGGTGAAGGAGCTGTCTTTATCTGTAGTGTTGTCATTCTTGTGTCAGAGGAAAAGAGAAGACAATGAAAACATGAGACTCAAAGCTTCTGCTTCATAGTGTCACTGAAACTGAAACTGTGAGTACAAGTAGCTAAGTATCAGCTTTATTTTTATTTACATTTTATTGACAAAGCTAGTCATGTGATCCAGCCTGACATTATTAGGTTAAGAACATGTAATCCTCCCATGGGAATGATAATTCAATTACTATAGGGCTGCAACCAGACATAGGATGCTGGTCTGTGATCATGGAGGAAGGGAAGCATCTCTACGTATGAGACCTCACCATGAGCTAGTGCAGGTTCTGGCCTTACACTATCTGAATGGGGCCAGAGTCCGAAGCCCTAGTGTGAGGCCTTCTTTAGATCCCTGTAAGCACAAATTACAAAGCACTCAGGAAAGTGTAGGTCTATGAAAAAGAATTTACAAACCTAACAAACAGAGACTTTATACCAAGAAATAGGAATAATAGACTAATCCAAAAGGCTTTATGATAAAAAAAATATGTTTAAGTGTTTAAAGATATAACAGAGGACGGGTATCAGTGAGCCGAGATCAGGAGGCAATGAAAAAAGAATAGGTGGATATGAAGACTAGCACAGTTCTGCATGCCTGTAATCCCAGCAACGTGGAAGGCAGTTTAGCAAGACCCTATTTTAATGGCTGATGTAGTTCAGTGGTACAGTGTTTGTTTAGCATGTATGAGGTCCAGGGATATATCCTTAGTGCCACAGAAACAACAACAACAACAACAAAAAAACCTAATCTGAACCAGTCAGGATTCAGTTCAGAAACCCAAAACTATTCTAAGTACTTTTAGCAGAATGGAGTACAGGGAATTAGCTGCTTCCAAAATCACTACCAGGCCTAATAGTCTAATTATCCAGATGTAATTTTAAAAAATTGCTTCTAGCAGTTTCTAGCAGATACTATGCATTATATGAGTCTTTATTAGATAAAAATTTTAAAAGATCAGTTGAGAGCTGTTGTGGGATTAATGATTTCAATCTATCATCATAGCCATAATTCAGATGTCAGGAAGCCAGCTCCGCTGCCACCAATACAGTTTCCTCCGGTCCACAAAGGTGGTGATCGTTTGCTGGAATACTGAGACCAGGCGGATTTGGTTCTTGGCTGCCACCATGGCAGCAGGATGTAGTTTCCTTCTTGTTTCCATTCTCCTGCTCCTGTACGTATGCATGTGATTGGTCAGAGCTGAATCCTCCAGAACTCTGTCATGTATTCTGGGAATGTGATTTTCTTTTCTTTCTTTCTTTCTTTTTTCTTTTTTTTTTTTTTTTTTTTTTTTTTTTTTTTTTTGCTTTTCAGCCCCTGTAATTCAGAAGGGAACAGAGAAGCATGTGAGAATGAATATCAAGTGGCAGTCAATAACAAGTACAAGTAGCTAAGAATCAGCTTAATAAGAAATGTGCAAAGACCCTTATGAAGAAAACTAAAATGCTGTTTAAGGGCACCAGAGGAGACCTGAACAAAAGGGAAAACATCCCATGGTTTTGGATCAGCAGACTCAGCATTAGCTCTTTCTCTGGTTACCATGTCCTGAGCTGCTTTCTTCCATCACACTCTTCTCCCATGATGTTCAGCCTCATCTCTGGCCCAGAGCAATGAAGTTGGCTGATTATGGACTGAACCTCTGAAACTGTGAGCCAAAATAAACTTTTCCTTCTCTAAGAATAAAGGACTCAGCATCATAAAGAGGTCATCTCTCTAAATTCATTTAAAGACAAATAATAAACAACAATAAAATTGCTAATTGGTTTATAACTAGATAGGCTGACTCTAATATTCATATGGAAAAATTAACAAGAATGGTGAGGAGAGTTGGACAAGTAAATAGTGAAGTGGAACTAGCACTAACCAAACCTTAAAGCACACAAACTCAAAACATGAAAACAGTGAAGTATTGGAGAATGAATAGATACAAATCAATCAAGAGGAAACTACATAAGAAAATATTTGTATATGTTAGAAGAGCTATTTCAAATCAGTGTCAGAAAGAGACAGCATTCCATAAATTGTATTGAGACAATCAGGAATCCATGGAAGAAAATTGGCTCTCTGCCCCAAAGCATACACCAGAAAAACTTCCAAGTGGTTAAAGGTTCCAGATAAAGGTAAAACACAAAGCTATAAATGTACTCACAGAAAACAGGATAATTTCTTCCTAACTGTGGAATATTTTATAACTTTGACCATAAAGTTCTGCATAGCAGAAAGAAGAAGAAAAAAAAACCACCATAAGCAAAATCAAAAGACCTAAGGAAAAACCAGTTCTGCTTACATCCCAAAGGAACCAGTCCCCCTAAAATGTTAAGAGGTCATAATCAATAACCAATAGAGGGCTGGGGTTGTGGCTCAGTGGCTTACCTCACATACGTGAGGCTCCCGGTTAGATTCTCATATGTTCTCATATATGTTTGTTCATATTCATATGAACAAAATAAAGGCCCCTCAACAACTACAAAATTATTTTTAAAAATAACCAATAGAAAAGAATCAACAGCCAAATAGAAAAATGAGCAAAGGATTTGAACAGACAGTTCACATAGAAAATATTAATTCCCTTAAATACATGAAAATATGCTCAACATCATTCAGAATAAGAGAAATGCAAATTAAATGTAGACTGAGATACCATTTTTCACCTATCAAATTGTCAAAAATTGAAAAGTTTAATAATATACTCCGTAGGTGAAGCTTTGGGGGAAATAGTGGGAGGGAATATAAATTGACTCAACTTCTGTAGAATTCAATTTATCAATTTTTCTCAAAATTGAAAATTCACGGATCCTTTGACCAAGCAACATAATTTCTGAGAATTTAGCTCAAGGTACACTCTCACATACAAACTGATGTATGTATAAGGTTATTTGTTCTGCATTATATAGAATAGAAAAGATTGTGAATGATACAATTGCCGCCAAAATGTGACCAGGTAAGATAACTTATGAAACACCCAACAATGGGAATACTAGGTATTTCATTCATTGCATTAAAAAAGAATGAGAAAGCTCTCGTCCCAATATGATAAGATCTAAGAAGTATTATGGATTGGAGAAAGTTAGGTACACATAAGTATATAGACTATATCATCTTTCTGAGAAGGAGGTGAAAAAAATAAGTACATATAGAAAAATCAAACAAAAGTCCTAAGTTCCAAAAATTTAATGGTATGAATTATGTGATCACATTATGACAAGCTCAATGAAATGATTTCTGTAAGTGTGTACATCTGGCCAGTTTGGGGACCTGGAGGTTCAGAACTAATTGCCATTTATGATATACCCAAAAATGTATTGTTGGGGGACATATTGGATTTTATTGCATTTGCATAAAGACAGTGGATAAATAAGAATTTAAGAATAGAGGTTACCTGGGGTTGAACTGCACTTGGTAGATGGGAAACAGATGGGAGCAAGCCTGTCTATTGTGTATCTTTGTTTGTTTGTTTATATTTTGAGATAGGACCCCACTAGTTGCCCAGGCTATCCTCAAGCTTGAATGCCTCCTGCCTCAGCTTCTGTCCTGGTTCACTGTGAATTTTTTTTTTTTTAAATTTAAACCATATGACTGTATCAAGTATGAAAATATTTGAAAAAAGTTTTTAGGGTTGGGGAAATAAGTCAGTTGGTAGGGTGCTTGCCTCACATGCATAAGGCCCTGGGCAATCCCTAGCACCAACAAAAAAAGAAAGTTTTCAATTAAAAGAAGATCGAGCATACTGAGGATATAACTCAGTGGTAGAGTGCTTATCTAGAATTCAAGAGATCCTGAGTTTGATCCTCATCACCACAAAAATAAATAAATAAATAAATAAAATAAAGGTTGGGGAAGAGAGAATAATACTACCAATAATTCTGTGGCAAGAACTTTGAAGCCAGGTGCAGTGGCGCATGCCTGTAATCTCAGGAGGCTAAGCCAAGAGGATCACAAGTTCAAAGCCAGACTCAGCAACTTAGAACTTGTCTCAAAAAATAAACACATGAAATAAAATGAAATAAATGTGAATATTTACGGGGATGAATAATTTCCTAGAATACAAGTTACTCAAATGGACCTAACAAACACTGATAACCAGAAAAGACTAATAATAGTAAAATTAAGTGACTAGATAGTCAAAACTCTTCCCACTCCCCATATAAAAGCTACAGGACCTAGACCATTTCATGGGCCAATTTTCCAAGTAAAATCTCTTGTGCTATGCAAGTTGTTCCAGAGAAAAGAAAAATAGAAACAGTTACTCAACTCATTTTGTAAAGATGGTATAACCTTAGTACTGAGATTGGATAAGGAGAGGGCAACAAAAGAAAACTAAAATCAATCTTTAATTAGACATAAATGCAGAAATTCTAATTAAATTACAATATTAGCACATTAAGTCCAGCATTGTACTTTTAAAAATCATCATGACCATGCAGGGTTTATTTCGGGATAACATTAGGAAATATATTAATTTAGTTAATTCACTACATTAACAGATTGAAGGAAAAACACCATATGATATAAATAGATCCAGAAATAGCATTTAGCAAGATTCAACATCCATTCATGATAAAAATTTCTTGGCAAATTAGAAATCAAAAGCCTTATTATTTTAATAAAGGATATCTACCAAAAGCCCACATAGAGCATCATTCTCAATGATTAAACTTGGGAAGCGTTTTCACTAAAAGTCAGGAATGTAACAAGGATGCCCATGGTCATGACTCATGTCCAACACTGTGCCAGGGGACATAGTCACTGTGTTATGAGAAGCCCAAGAGACCAGCAAAGTAGTAGAACTAAAAAGGATGTTGGCGAAAGTATCTGGAGTCAAGCTCATCATAAAGAAATCAGCTTTTTTTTCTTTTTTTTTTTTTTTTCATACTGGATATTGAACCCAGGGGGTACTTGCCCACAGAGCCACATCCCTAAGCCCTTTTTTGTAATTTATTTAGAGACAGGGTCTCATTGAGTCACTGAGGTTGGCTTTAAACTCAGGATCCTCCTGCCTCAGCCTGCCGAGCCGTTGGGATTAAAGGCCTGTGCCAGCACACCTGGCCAGCATTTCTTTATATGAGAAATAACCGATTAGGATATGAATGAAAGGAGAAAAATAAAGAAGAGAGAGAGCATTCACATTAGCAAGACAGTACTAAGAAAGAAAAGGCAATGTCATATTTTAAAAGTACAAAAATGGGCTGGGGGAGCTCTGTAGTAGAGTGCTTGCCCATCATGTGCCAGGCCCAGGGTTCTGCCCCCAGCACTACAAACAAACAAACAAAACAAAACACAACGCCAAAAAGCTACAGAAGTCTATCTAAGAACACATAAGAACTGAATAAACCATGTTTATGGAAGAAAAGACTCAATAATCTCGAAATGGTAATTCTGCCCAAATAGAGCTCTAAATTCAATGTGATCCTAACAAAATTAGCAATAGATTTTTGTAGCCCTTTGACAAACATTTTTTAAATTTATGTGGAAGATGAATGGTTATAATCCAAACCCAATTCTGTAAAAGAATAAGTGCCAGAAGTCAAGGCATTGTTAAGTCTAGAGTAATTAAAACTGTGGATATTGATGCAGAACAAACAGATAGATCAGTGGAACCGAACAAAGACTCCATAAATAGTTCAAAGATTAGAAGATCTTGGGATGTGAATAGGCATGGCCTCATAAACCAGCAGGAAAGGGTGGGTGTTTAATAAATATGAGTAGGAAAATTGTTTTTCTGTGGGAAGATTAAAAAAAAAATCCCTATCCTATGCCATATCCAAGAGGTAAATCTTGATGAATTAAAGATCTGAGCCTGAAAAACAAGATTTAAAAATGATTAAAAGGAAAATAGTAGGGTTCTCTGGAAAAATAGAACAAATAGGGCATACATATTGAGTTATTATGGGAATTGGCTCATGTGATGATAGAGGCCGAGTGTTCCTAGTTACTAGGAAATGTAATTTAATTTTTTGAATATAAAAACCCCAATTCCAGAGTTGAAACAATATTATATGTGTATGTACATGTAAGCTTCAGTCTCTTCCCTCTTCCACCCTATTCCCATCCCCGTAAACAATCATCTGTATTTGCCTGTGCTTTGTCTTTCCGAGTCTTGTAATAGTATTTCCCCTTCTTCCCACATGAACGTTAACACATACTCTGCCTCACCTTTTCCTCCCCCAGTGCTTCCTCAAAACTATCTGCGATGGTCACTCTCCGTTGTCAACTTGACTGAATTTCA